TGAGTCAGAACAGCCGGCATTGTAGTCTACTCTCCCAGGATCAGGAAACGGTCCTCCATAAAATGTGCTGCACACATCTGAATATTTGGGTTGAACTGTTCTGGAACAGTGTTGTAAATACAACTTAACCACTGATTTCTAGTCGTGTCCTCTTTTGGAAGGCCAAACAAAGTAGTTTCGCTTTCACAACGAAACACACAGCGTCACACACAGCGAGCTTCAGAACGGCGCGGCCAGCGGATTCGACGAAGGAGCGGCCGTGGGCTTGCGGCAACCACATGTGACGACCCCGGTCTGGACTCCGCTTCGTCCACGGTGAAAGCCGATCCGGCGATCCACAGCGTGAAGTTGTAGTATTTCCTCAGCGACCAGCACAGATCAGCTCTAGGCATGACGAAGCGGATATCGTCCTCTTTTGGAAGGCCAAACAAAGTAGTTTCACTTTCACAACGAAACACACAGCATCTCCACGACATGGCGGCGGCAGCAACAACAATACTACAGCGAGATTAAAAGTTACTCCTTCTTTCTTTGCGTGAACATTTGGGGCGGCGTTATGCAAATCTTCCCACATCGTGATGTAGACATGTGGGGGCGTGTTAGAACGGGCCGTTTTAGGTAGGCGTGGCTGACTCTTAACTTTTATAAAGAATATCTCTTTGGATTTTAGACTTTAGTCTTTGCAACTTTACCAATTTTCTTTATGCACCAAGAGCTTGTAACACTCCAAAGAGAAAGGAAAAATTGAAATCGCATCATATGGCCCCTTTAAGGACTAAACTGATTGTGATGGTTTTGTGTTACACTTTCCACGATAAGGTCTCTTTTTAAATGTAATGGCTCAGCAAAATCACAAACGTCACATACTCTGCCTTCACCCCTGGCAGACGCTTAGGGTGAGGGAGGTGATGATGTCGCTGCTGGAGCTCCAGGATGGTGGTTTCCAAATGTTGAAGTTGGTAGTGGGAAAGGGGTTACAGCAGGTGAACTGCATGAAGGCGTGGGTCTTCCTGCATGACTAGACTAGACTAGACTGAATGCTTCTGTGTGAGCATTGTTATGAGCATTAACTATGTGACATATTAGATAGGTGAGGGCTGTTGTTGGTAAAGCTACACTGATTGTTTTGATTGGCTCTAAACTGCTATGTCAATATTTCTTGCATACGTTTTTATGATCACATTTCAAGATCTTGACACTATTACCATAATATATTGTTTTCTTTGTTTTCATTTTGTTAGATCAGCTAGACATGACATATATCAGAATAACTGACTGAATATATTAGATTAAAATGCAGACAATTACATGCATTTAATGTTGTCTTAAATGAACATAATATCATATTAAATTGCCAAATTATATATCACATTAAATTATTAAAATAATATTAATGTTATTAATAGTTAATTACTTAATGGGTCTAAAATAAACAAAGATTAAAAAAAATCTGAAATTAACATTATGACATAAAATAAATAAAAAAGATAACCAAGAAACATTATGATTATATATCATGTTTATCATGACACCTTTACTGCGATATATGGAAAAGCAGTATTCTGTTATAACATGTTTTGATTTTTCCTTTTTAAAGGTGTTATTTTCTTTATTTTTATTATGTTAGATTTAGTAGACATGGCATATATCAGTATAACTGACTAATAAATGCATTAGATTAAAATGTAGATACTTACATGCATCTAATGTTGCCTTGAATTGTATGATATTATATCAATTCAGTAATGTTATAGCTCATATTATTAAAATTTAATTACTCCATGGGTTTCAAAAGTCTGATATAATGATGAAAATGTGTGTGTTAATATCAAATAAACAAAGATTTTGACAAATCTGATGACATAAAATAAATATAAAATAAGACTATTTTAGCTCATTAATCAAATAGGTAAATTTGTGATAGTGACTATGTGAGTTGAGTTTATGCTGTCATCAAAAAATGGTATATCCCAAATACTACATGATGTTAATATTAATTTTGAAATGTCTTTGCACTAAAATTATTAAGCTAATAATGTGATTATGAAAAATGTTTTAATTCAGGAAAAAATAAAAATATTTTGACAAGTGATCTCAGACTTTTGGATCACCATATATAAGCGTCTTGACCGCATCATGCATATATACAGTGGGTATGGAAAGTATTCAGACCCCCTTCAATTTTTCACTCTTTGTTATATTGCAGCCATTTGCTAAAATCATTTAAGTTAATTTTTTTTCCTCATTAATGTACACACAGCACCCCACATTGACAGAAAAACACAGAATCGTTGACATTTTTGCAGATTTATTAAAAAAGAAAAACTGAAATATCACATGGTCCTA